CGGTTTTCGGTGACTTCTTTTAAAGTATGGCAGTTCTGTTGAATATACTTTTTGAATAAATACCAATTGGCTTTCTTTAGATTCCATTTTGGAATTGGAGTTGTATTAATATCTTCATAATTATTATTGAAAGAGATTTTAATAGGATAATGATCACTTCCATATAAAAACGGGATTACATCCCATGAAAACTTTGGTGACAGCACAGGATCACATAATGACAGGTCGATAGCTGATGAGGTACCTGTATGAATATTATATCGTGTTGATTGTCCATCATTCAGTAAGTTTAGGTTTTTTAAGGTAATTATGTTTTCTACAATTTTACCTTTGGAATTTATTCCAAGAGATCCCCATATTGGATTGTGACTATTAAAATCACCAACAATTATTCTGGGAGTGGGAATCTGATCTAGTACATCTGAAATATCTGCTTCTGTGATTGGTAAGTCAGGTGGAATATATAAATTACAGATATTTATTTTTTGTGGAAAGGACACTGATACTCCTACTACTTCTAATTTACTATTAATTACTATTGCTTCCGATTCATATTTTTGGTTAACATATGTAACAACTCCTCCACTAGCGATATTTGCGTTGTTTCGGTTTTTATGGAAACAAGAATAATTCCTCATGTCATAACTATGCTGTCCTTTAAAGTTTGTTTCTTGTAAACAAATAATTGATGGCGAGATTATTGAACATAAATGTTTAAGCATTTCTAAACGGGCATAGAACCCGTTAACATTCCATTGAATAATCGGATCGAAGATTTTAGTTTATTTCTTGAGTTGAATTTGATGTAGTGTCACTTTCTTGATTTGCGGAATCGTCTGAGTTCAGCATTTTTTGTATTTTGTTTATTATTTTAGTGCATTTCGTTTTCATGCTTTTTTCTGTAAAATATGGCTTAATTGTTGTTATCATATTCATAAAGTTGGGTATATCCGTTGTGTACGTTTGTATTAAGCTCAGGGGATCAGACGAGCTAGAATAATTTTCAAAAAAGTCAAGAGTTTGTTCATATGTTAAGTTAAAATTATTTGACATATTATGAAATATTATTTTTGTTGGCATCATCATTTCCTGAATTGATATGGTAGCTTCAGGTTGCTTTTTTTGTTTCTTTTTGGTTTGTTTTGGGATTTTAAATTCTTTATTTAATTCTTCAGTGGGAGATGGAGTAGTATTGATTTCCGAAATTGTTCTTTTGTTGGTCGATGACTGGTCTTTAGATATACCAGTAGTTTCCATAAGTACGGGAGGTATTAAATTGGTATCTGTTTTTTGGTTAGGTGTAGGTTCGGTATTAGAATTACTGACTGGAAGATCTGGTTCTATTTCTAAGGGCGATTTGTTATACTGTGAGGATTCTTGTGGTTGTTGTTGTATTGGTTGTTGTGGTTGATGGTGGATAAGAGTGGGATCATTTTGTGGATTATGACTTGTACAATTTGCTGCAATGTGATCTGTTTGCTTACAAATAAAACATGAAGGTTTATCTAAACTTAAAAATATGCGATACGAAGTTTGTTCATATGTAATTAAGAAGGAAGAAGGTAGGTCCATATCTACAAGTGGTTGAATATATGTTTGTCTTCTAAAACTGAAGACGTGTTGAAATTCTGGGAGTTGACTACCTATTCTAAGGAAGGTTAAAGGTGACATTAATTTGAGACCCAATTTAATTAACTCATTTTCTATTAGAGTATGTGGAATAGAAGGGCATACATTCGATAGTAACAGTCTTTCGTTCGGAGTTATTAATCTTCTAGCCTTTAGATTTTCGCCTTTTATTGTTATTTCTGCTGGATTGGACATAAATTTTTCGACCAAGGATTCGCTGGAGAGATAGATACATATTCTGTTATTTGATAGTCTTGATGAAAATAAAATATTCCGTGGATGAACAACTTCGCCAAGAGCTATTAGGTACTCTTCTATTTTAGTATCAGGTAGCGCATTAAATAAAATTGCTTGATTCTTAGAAGGAAACTGAATTGAAGTATTATTAAGCACAGCAGAATATGTTGTTTTGTTTTGAGATTGTTGATCGTCAGTCATGGCTGTTGACAAATTTTTAAGGTCGGATCTGATATCATTTGATAAACTCATTAGTAGGTAATTAATAATTATTTAAACCAGTTGTAGAACCAGCAGTGGTTGTGATAACAGGCCTTTCGGCCGACACTTAACCTTACAAATAGTATGCTTTTGAAACGTTTTGATATATAAAATAATAATAACTCACTGTTTGTTTTTTCGGTAATGTAACTGCACTATATACGATCGCTTACTGCTTTTGTTTAAGTTTTTTGATATTAATTACTTTGAAAAGTACACTTTTGCGGGACTGAAATGTAAACACAGTTTGTGTCACCATGTTCAGGACCGGACTCCACGACATTCCTTCTTTGTGCTGTTTCGTATCTTCTGCGCCTGTCAGAATTTTACAGTAAACTATTCAAACTTAACTACCCTTAACCTTACTTCGTTCTTGCCTTTTTAAATTGAAGGACGTAAGTCAAATCATTTTTCAGCTTCTCAAATAGAAGCAAGTTATTGTTTTCACGCTTCTCAAATAGAAACAGATTTCAAATAACATATTTTATTAAATAGTTAATTTATCATCATCATCAATTAGCCTATATTTGTCCACTGCTGAACGTAGGCCTCCCGTAAAATTTTCGATATTCATCTTGCCTTGGTCGCCATTCCAGAATCTTTTTGGTCCAAGCCCATTTAGCCATGGCTATTTTTTTCCGTGCCGTTCCATCGTTTGTGATGTAAATATTTAGATTTAGCGTTTTTTGGGGGTATTTCAAATGCCTAAAATTTGTTACCAAAACTCAAAACCGAAATTTTAGGCTATATATGTTTTAAAAATGGGGCTCTATTATTATAAACTTCATAGTGACTGGTCATGGAAGTGATAAATATTATTGATCTAATCAGAATCGTAAAAAATGGTAAAAATCGATAAACGATTATTTAACATCTTTATAGAAATTGGCTTTGTTTGCGGCAATATACAAAAATTTTATAAGAAAGCTACAATTTTTACCTTTAACACGCATTTTGATTTTTGTTAATAGGACAATTTTATGAAAAGATTAAATTTTTGTTGACTTAATACAAACTTTAGTCAAAATTGATTTCACGTGCTCTTAAGGCTCGTTTTCACGGGTCGATTTGAGTTGAACGATTTGGATCGTTCGACCATAGTTCGATCTGTGCCGAAAACAAAAAGGTTTACACGACAGTCGATGAATGTTGAATTAATTGTCAAACAAAATGACCTCACGTGAAATTCTTAATGTAGGTGTGCAATTAATTTTTTATGTAATTCGAGAAGAAATTGCCAAGTCAGACAAAAGAAAAATAAACGAAAGTGGTGGACGCGACCATAGATTCTAAGACGAAATACCCATGGTGCATCATAAAGCCTGCTTCAAGAAATGGTTGTGAAAGATCCAGAGGCTTATAGAAATCATCTAAAAATGAATAATGTGCATCTAAAAGAACTTTTAGAAAAAACTGCTGAGAAAATTATAAAAAACGATACAAATATGCGTTCAGCATTACCGACAATGCTGAAATTGCAAATAGCTCTTCGATTTACAGCCACTAGAGACAGCTATGCGTCACTCAAAGCCTTGTATCGGTTACCAAAATGTTCAATATCATTATTTTTCCCTACTTTTTTTGGACTAGTACAACAAGATGTATGTTGTTTCAAAATAAAAAAAATAATATCTATCTACCATGTTTGATTGTTTTTTTCTGCCTCCCATCGTTACTGTTTTCAGAGAACTATCAGCATGTTAAAATCAAATTATACCCACTACATATAAGTCGTCAGGTCGAGAACCACTCTTAAGTGATTTCAATACTTTGCTCAATTAACGATTGTATGGTGTTCTAATATTTTTGATTTTATTTTTCAAGTCATTTTCAGACATTTTGGGTTTATTCATTTGTTGTAAAATTGCTTGCAATGCTGCCCGCCTCGCTTGTAGATTGCGATAAAGCTCGGTTTGCAAATTCCATAATATATCCTAGTTTTGATAAGCATTCAAACATCTTGCCATGTTTGCATCTGAACCTTTTTCAGTAATTTTTTTTTCCAAAATTACATCTTGTCGCACTAAAAACAACAACTTCATACACTCTAGAAGTACTCTACTCAGCTTTCGGCATGTTGTGTTTCTGTTTGACGAGGTGTTTACACATTCGATTTATAGTTTACATAATTCGATTTGTGTGGAACATGTGTATACCAAACTAAGTATGGGATCCACATGTCCGAAGATCAAACCGGTCACACTTCACTAGTTGAAGTGGTACCTATCTGACTCCCAGGCTTTTCCACCACCCCTCCTCATCGTGTGACTTACGTGAGGAGGCTTATGATGTGAAAGTTACTGGAGGTGCCCTGGGTAATGAGATACCTCTTGTTTTTAATGACTGTGGTTATGCCACCTGACTGTAGGGGTAGCCACATCTAGGCTTTTCTCCCTATTTACTTTACTGACTCTATAGATTTTACTCTAACATCACTTCGGGACTTGAGTCCCTAAAAAAAAAAGAAAAAAAGAAGAAGACAGTCTTTTTACGGATTACAGATTATTAATAAATAAATTTTTTCCGTTTTTTTTCACCTACTACGGCGAGGTTAGGGGGAAACCTTGGGGTAAAAACGGTAAACGTTTTTGCATCTTTTTACAGTGACAAAATTGACATACTTGGGACGGGTTAAAAATAATAAAGCTACGTATTTATTTATACGTCCGTGGTTTCGACATTGTGGAGCCATAACTATGATAATTTATTATGAAATTCATTTAGCTCTAAAACAAAATCAGTATGATCTTCTGATCTTGAAAGAATCAAGCGTAAATAACGGAAATCAGTTGAAATTTTTAAATTTTTTCCACGAAAATTATTTTTGTTATATGCAAAATACACTTATCCATTAAGCTTGTAATAATTTTCAGGCTTTGGCAGTAAGAAGACACCAATGCGAAACAATGGATGCTGATCCTCTTGTATGGACTAATCAAAGATTCATCAGATGGGCTCGGAGTATCGACCTCGCAGAATACGCTGATAATTTAAAAGGTAAAAGTGAAACATATAAAATCAGTTTGTATATGTATATATTAATATATTTAAAAGACTTGCAAATATTTTATTTTCTAGAAATTACACCAAATTCTCTCTTGCAAATAAGTTACACTAAAAGAAAAAATTAATTTTTTGTGATATTTTCCTAATTCAGTCAACATTGCTTAAAAGCAAATCAAGTAGATATTACAGTATACATTGTGATCAACGTTTGTGACAAAGTCCATTATAAATATCTGTTATTATAGAAGATACCAAACCACTATTTAAAAAAATAGGTGGTATAGTCTGGGATCTCGAATTTTCACCCTTTATTACTAACAAGCTAATTTTTTGTGGGTAGTTTCATTTTGACAAGACGCCCAACTTTTGCTCTTAGAACAATTTGGTTTGTGGTAGCTAACAGGTGTAGCAGAAATGAAATATGTTGATTTGACGGCTCTCAAAAATTTATTACTTTTGGGTATTTTTTTATTTATTTTAATTAATTAATTAATTATCCAAATTATCCAAAAATATTTGTCTCACAAAATGTAAGGTTTTGTGAAAGAGTCCCGTCCTTAATAACATCTATGTAAGATGGTTATTGGATTGCAGAACATAGACAAAAAATATACTTTCCCTACATTTATATTTTTTTTATCTTTTTCAATACAAATGGTTTTATGTTGTATTCTATAAAATTATGTAGACTTGCACTTGCAAAATATAGACTCAAATGGCACTATATGTATACCACTGGTTTCTGACAATTACGTGGTATAAAGAATTTCATTCAATGCATAATTCTTTTTATAAGGTTGTAAGTACTTTAGAATTTGGACTAATATGTTTTTTTAAACCATTCTCTCTATTCAGATTGCCGAATATAGGCCTCTCCTAATTCTTGCCATTCATCTCTGTTGTTTGTAAGTCGTTTCCAGATTGGTCCTGAAGTTCTTTTAATATCGTCGCTCCAGCGCATTTCCGGTCTTTTTTCGTTGTCTTTTGGCTTTATATGGCCGTCAATTTCCGATTTTTTTTTATTCCATCGGCCATCCTTAAGACGTTCGTTATGTCCAGTTTATTTCCATTTCAGTTTAGCTGCCTATTAATGTCTTAATTGGTTTTATGGTCTTTGAGTGAGATACCCAGCATCTGTTGTTATATAGCTTTCTGAGTTTTTATGATCTTCATATTTATTTTAGTGAAAGTCTAGAATTGAGCTCCATATGTAAGTACAGGTAGGATATAGGAATTAAACACTTTGAGGTATATTTTTATTTTTAAATAAGTATGAGAGTATAATACCAGAAATGGGGATTAAATATCAATTTAGAAAAGACAAAATACCTCTCAATTGGAGCTGAAGCAGAACAACTCGATATCGATGACAATCAAAAAATAAATCCATGTTACGAATATAAATACCTGGGCGTCATCTTCGACCGTAGTGGAAAAGACGAACGAGAAATAGAACATCGAATTATATAATCACGAAGAGCTATAGCATGTTTGAATGGAGAGACAGGGAGAATAACCGAGAAATATAAGAAAAAGGTCAAAGCCACGGAAATGGATGCCATCAGAAGATCGATGAGAATATCAAGACCCGACAGAATACGGAATGAAGTGATAAAACAACAGATGGGTATAGAGGGCACTATAGTTAAGGATATTGAGAGAAAACAGCTCATATGGTATGGGCATGTGAGCCGAATGCGGGACGAAAGATTGCCTAAACAAAAGATGATGTGGCAACTTCCAGAGAAGAGGAAACGAGGAAGAACATAACAGAGCTGGAACCTGGGAGTTAGCAAAGCGATTAGCGCTCGAAATCTGGACGAAGACCTAACTCAAGACAGAATACAGTGGCGTTTGGGAATCTATATATATTATAATGAGAACAGAAATACAATAAATTAACATAGAAATATATACAACCAGATATACAATGTTAATTAATATATTTATTTAAATAGTGGTTAGAGACATAATTTGTAAGTTATATACTAGATAATATTATTAAAAAATAATTGTACGAGGGTATTTTTAAGAATTTAGCATAAGAATTAAGTTTAAGAAGTTTTTTTTATTTTATTTAATATTAGATATGTTTGAGTCAGCCATGTGCATATGCAACCAAACATACACTGTAGTGTCAAAGTCAAAACGTTATCTATTTTTGGAATGTTAATTTAGAATATAATTGTGGATGTAGAATAGTAAAAATATATTTCATATAAATGCTTAAGTTACATATAATAGTGTAGTTCTGATCTGGAGAGCCTAAAGTCAAGTAAATTGTAAATAGAGAATTCTAGAAATGTCAATGGGACTATTTGCATAATACATCGCAGACAGGAAACGATTTCAATTTATTCCAGAATGTTCAGATAGAAAAAATAGAATGATTCGAACATTATTTATTGCTAGATTATTCTGGAAAGAGGAAGGATATATAAACCATGTAATTTGGAGCGGGAGTTGAGTTATCAGTTAGAATCAGTTATCGGTTATCAGTTAGTTAGTTACAGATTATGATTAGTTACAGTAAAGTGATTCAGTAAAGTTATAATTTAAGAATTTGGTTACAAGAAGATTATTAAGTTAATTATTATTATTATTAAGTCTGTTACATGTGATTATTAATTACAAAGAAGAATTAAGAATAATTTATTAGGTTATGAAGAGATTTTTAGCTAGAAGAAGGCATTGATTAAGTAAAATGAATTATTAAGTTAAATACAGTTGGAAATTAATTATTACTACAGTAATCTAGTGACAGTTTGAAGTTAATTCATTGAAATAAGCATTCAATAATACAACCACAAGATCCAGTATATTTCAAAGTACATTATATGGAAATTACAAGGATTTAAATTTATATATTTATATGGTGAGTGGAGATAATTAGGAAGAAACATATTAAAATAGTTGGATAACCAAGGCTGAGGAAGAAAATATCGAGTGGTGATAATAACTTTAATTTTAGAAAAACTTTAGGCGTTCAGTAAAAGAAGGTACCAAATTTTGTTAATAATTTAATAATTGTATGAATTTCAAATTTTAGATAGATTTTTTTAAATTAATATTGCTTATATTAGATAGATAGGTTTGTTTCATAATAGTTATAATAAAGATAATTTACAAAAGTACTTACAAACTAATTCTTTGAGAACCGCGATAAAAACCCTATACTTACATATATCATTCAAATTTACTCATAGCTCATACAATAACAACACATCATAACAATATATATATATATATATATATATATATATATATATATATATATATATATATATATAATATATATATATATATATATATATATATATATATATATATATCGCTTATTTGCTTATTTCGGTAGTCTGATTTTCTTTGCTTACCTTGACATTTTGACCCAAATATGTATATTTATCTACATGTTCTATCTCTATACCTTGGATTTTTATAATAGGTTTTTAATCTTGATATTGGTTTAATTTTGCTGAAATACATTTTCAGTCCTTTTTTTACGGATTCTGTGTGTAGATCATTAATCATCGTATTCAGTGCATTCCATGTGCCGGCTATTAGTACTAGATCATCTGCGACTCTAAGATGGTTCAAGTATCTTCTGTTAATAGAGATTCCCCTACTTTCCACGTCTATTGACTTAAAGATAACTTCTAGGGCAGCTGTAAATAATTTTGGAGATATTGTGTCTCCTTGTCTTACGCCTTGGTTGATTTTTGCTGGTCTTGTTTTGATTCCATTAACCAACGTCACTATCATTTCAGCTTGTTTGTTAATATTATGTATTACTATTCTGTATCTGAAGTCGATCCGGTTGTTGACTAATGCTTCTTCTATTGCCTACAGCTCTACGCTATCAAAACCGTTTACATAATCTATAAAAGCCAGGCATTATGGGAGATTGTATCCGTTAGTCTTTTCTATCAGGATTTTTAAAGTATATAAATGGTCACAGGTGCCCTTTTCTAAATACGGCTTGTTCTACTGGTTGATATCCGTCAAATTGAATTGTTAATCAGTTTGTAATAATTTTTGTAAAGGTTTTGTAAAGTTGTGAAAGAAGTGAAATTGGTCGATAATTTTTCCGGTCTGTGGTGTCTCCCTTTTTGTGTATTGGTATTGTTTTAGCAGTATTCCATTGTTCGGGTAGGTTGCCCTCAAATAGACATTTATTAAATATTATTTTAATATTATGTATACTCTGAGAAAATTAGAAATTAGATATAGAAATGGTGGCTACTTTGCTCTCTCATATTATTTTAAACTTACCTATAGGCATTGATAGGTTATTGAAGTATTCTCCAGCCAACCACGGGGACAATCCATAAAGAGCATACCTGATATATATATACATTGACATAATATTAAAAATTAATTTATGTATTTTTCTTTTACCTATAGACAGTGGCGTTCATGGAGGTTTGGTGGTACTGGAGCCATCGTTTAACGGAGACACAATGGCGACAGCTCTTGGCATTCCAGCGAGTAAAAATATAATCCGTAGACATCTCACAGCTGAGCTGGATGCTCTTATTTTGCCCGCCAGGTACGTCATATTTTGTCAACTGGAAGAACTTCAAGCCGAAGCAGCCAGAGTTATATCAAAACATAGATAATCAATCAAATGTCTAATTTTTTGTTGCCTAACATGTTTTGTGTTTTTGGAAACCCGAGAAGTAGTATATTCTTTATTGTAAAATTTTACGACCGGTTTTGTGCTATTCTGTTCTGTTTTTTTTTTTCATATTATAAAATTAACTGTAAAAATGTAACTACTTTATGCAAGCACAAACGACAATACGAGCTACCTAATGTACATAATCTATTTTTTAAATTTAACAAATCGCAGAATTACCGACAATTATAATTGACTAGTGTTCTGAAGCTATTTTCTTGTGGCATTTTTAAAGTAATTCCTATTTAAATGGGAATAAGCCACAAGTAAAGGTTAAATTCTCTTTATTGACGTTTCAATTTACACTTCGGAAATCGTTCTCAAAATACAAACATTACCATTTAAATAGTAATTATTTTAATGGAGAACCCTAAAAATGTAGGGGTATAAGTGACATTTTGAGAAGAAGTAGATATTGAGAAAAGTGCATCACCTAACTAGAAATATTATATTTGAAGGTAAAAAGATCTAAACGATAAGTCAGGTGCTGCTCAGGTGCTGCTTTTTAGCGGCAAGTTACTTAGCCTCCATGCCTACTATAAGACAAGTAGGGCTTCGAATAGAATATAATTGTGCATTGGGAACTAGAATCTTCAAACAGCTGTTCTAAATCGATCCACACAGACTGAGCCTATAGAAAGAAAAAAACTAAATTCAGTTAGCAACAAACAAATGTCATCTGTTCATAATCTGGAAAGTTTTAGAGTTTTAGAGATAAACAGTTTATAAAAAAAGTTTCCTTAGACGTGTCATGAATAGCCAAAAAGGATAGAATATACCCCCGAACAAAATTTCTGAAAAGGCAATTGAAACCATAAAAGAGCATATTAATAAATTTCCTAGGTTCACAAGGTACTACACTAGAAATAACTCCGAATCGGAGGTCTCTTCCTCAAGAGTGTAATTTTAAAATAATGTACAAACTTTATTGTGATTTCTATAAGGAGGAAAAACAGGAACAACCTGTAAGTGAAAGCTTTTAGTTTAGTTTTAAAAGGCCAATCTGTAATAAATGTGATAAATTTCAGATAAAAATAAATCATGGTTCGGCAGAGGAAAATGGACAAAAAAATACTTTCATGGAAGCCGTAAGAATAGGATTCTAGCAACTTCTAATATGTCAACCTCTAAAGCATATTATTTAAACAACTATGGACGTATAACTTAGGGGTTCATAACCTACTAAAGAAACGACCCATTTCTTTATGTGACACTAAGGTCAGACGTTACGTGGATATTAGGAAATACCATCCTCTCTTCTAGAATATATCAAAAGCCTTCCCCCATCTATAAAACACATAACTGTATTTAGCGACAACTGTGGATGCCAAAATAAAAGTCATCTGAGTCAAATTTTGGCTTTACATTGTCAAAAACACTAATAATGAAACAGTAGATCATCGATGTTTTATAAGTGGCCATTCTTATAATGAGTGTGACCAAGACTTTGGTCTGATAGAGTGAAAAAAGAGAACAACCAGAAAGAACCTGTATGTACCTTAACATTGGATGAAACTGGTGACTTTTTCGAAAAGAAAGCTCTTTACAGTACAGAAGTAAAATGACGATTTTTTAGACTTTCAAATACTTACGCCATACTTCATGAAGAGCGTAATAAAATACAGATCATACAATGGTTACATTTTCAACCAGACAAAGTTTTAACCCTGTTTTACAAGAAAACAGCTGGGGTATCATAGAAGAGTTTAGTTAGTTATCTATGAAACCCATTCGAGCAGACAAAAACTTTTTTCTGCTAGAACTCTTGCCAGTACCTATTGACAAAAGCCTCTCATTAAGCAAGCTAAATATTCAAACCTTCAATAGTTACTTAACTACATACCTCCAATTTACCATGAATTTTTGATAAATCTGCGACGTGGTAGTCAATAAGCTGGAGAAGTAGCAAACTTAGAAGAAGCAGAAAAAAAAATGACGATTGGAATCACCATTAAGATACAAACGCAGTCCAGGACGAAGAAGAACCTCATAGTTGAAGAACTTGCGAGATTGGTATGGTGTAGATACAAGCATGCTATTTAGGGTGGCAGTGAATAAAATTAAAATAGCTATGATGGTAACCAACGTTCTGAAAGGACATGGTACATGAAGAAGAATTAAGACACTGATTGTGATGAATCATAAGTCACTTAGATATTAGTGTTATATTAAAGAATAAATTTGTACAAAAACTTTATGAACTTTTTACTTTTATCTTACATTTTTTAGAAGTAAGAGGGTACAAGTGTTACTTAGCAACCTAAAAATAGCTCCAAAATTAGTAAAATTGATAAAATTATGATTTTTTGTTACCAATAATAATTATAATGCCTACAGTTACTAAACCGGAAAATAAAAATTAGCATTAAAAAATTATGGCAATTACAGTGAAGGCTTAATTTTAAATGGCATTTACTCAAAATTTACTTTTTATCACTTATACCCCTTTACTTCTAGGGTTTAACTAATTTTAAGAAGAAAGTTTGTTGAGTGGTAAATATAAAATATGAAACAGAACCTAAATAACTGGAGTGAATCCTAACCAACAGCCTAGCTACCAGAGAAACTGATAATTTTAATAACGGTTGAAAATCCTATTAGGCTTAACATATTACTGATATGTTTAATTCTTATCATATTTCAATACCATTTCTATAATATATAATGAAAACTATGATATATACTCTTTAATACGACTCAATCGCTTTCTGTTGGATAATAATATCAGCCAATATTGTCTGGATCATTATATTCTTCTTCTCCTTTTTATGTAGACCTCTGTCTGTTTTTCAATGTGCCTCCAGTAAGTTGTCATTCCATCGTTTTTGTACCCTTCCCACTGATCGTCTTCCTATTGGGAAACCGTCTTTTGCCGTCTTTACTATTCTATGTGTTCGATCAGATTTATTAGATCATATTTCAGAATGTCATCGAAATTAAGATAAGCGGAAGGGTTCGTGGATCAGAATATAAATTTGCTAAAGTTGCTACTACAATTTTGTGGAGTATTGTTAAATACTTATTTTCATTCAAATAGGAAAATACAAAAGGGATCAATGGGAAGGTCTTGATTATCCTCTATCCAAACACTAATACTTTTAGAGGGAAGAACATAACCACCAGCAAAAATATTGGATGATAGTGCATCAATAATATAAGTGTACTCATCTGAACAGAAAACGTTCTAATGAAGTAAAAATGAAAAAATCCCAGTGGTTGACTTATACCATAGTTTAAAAAAATTACATAAAAGTAAGAGCTTCTTGTGTATAATGGTATATTATTTATTAAAAAATAATTTACAAATTTATCCAAAAGTATTCCAAATCTTCAAAACATTTTCAGTGAAAAAACATTAAAAGTCGTTAACATTAGAAACCCTTACATCTCATTCCCAGTATGAGGGAAATATACATCTTCCCTACTCGAAAGAAGGGACAACTATGTCCAACTAATGGTAAGCCGACTGACGAACTTCTCACCATGTACGTTAAGCAGAATATAGGATAATAAAACTTCTTTGTGTTTTATTACTTGATAAGGCAATATATTATATGCGAACAAAATTACCGAATGTTATTACTAACTATAAAACTGACTATAAAAATTAGTCTTCTTCTATTAATTGTGATCTAATTTAATTTCATTATCAACCATATCTTTCCAAATTAACCATATAAAACAAATTAGTTACGAACAATTAGTTTGGACAATAATTATGTAGGTATTTAGCTCTCTGGTTTCCAAAATATCAAAAGTGTTTGTAATGAATGTGCAATTTTTAATGAAATCCAGTGTTTACTAAATCAAAACTTATTTACAGAATACAATAAATCAAACTATTATACTTTAATTTATAATACCATGATTTAAGAATAAAATGATTTATTCAATATATACATTTATTTCCATATACATCCACATCAAAGGTATAAATCGGACATATTATGTCACAATCAAAGCTACAATTTTCAGTAACTTAATATTTGTCAGGGTGTGTTCTATACAGGGTGCCTTATTACTGCGAGAAAGTCAATTTACACATTTGTCGTAAGAGATCAAACAAAAAATAATTTAAGTAAATGTTGTAGTATAGATAGTGCCAAACTTAAAAAATATTTTCAAATGTACAGGGCCGCCCATATTAACAAATTTAACCATTTTTAATAGAATATTTTTATATATTTTTATATTTTTGCATTCTTACCGGTGTTCTCGTTTTACTTTTAAATACAAAGTTAATAATAATAGTCTCCCGTTTTATACCGCACGCGGCTTTGGGAGTATAGCAGGGTAGTCTGCTATATCTAGGGCCTACGGTATACAAGGAAGGTAACATGGCCAGTGCTACGCTTCAACCGCCTATTATTACCCCTGGTTTTACCCAAGGTACTCATTTTATTCAGGCTGAGTCGACCTGGGCCTATAGACATTTTAAAAATGCCTAGTTGTTCTTGCCGGCGGTAGGATTCGAACTCACGACCACCGGCATGCGAGGCAAGCACACTACCGCTTGCGCTACGCAGGCCCTTTAAATACAAAGTTGTGTAGTGTTATTAGATGTAGTTTTAAAATAAATATATTTTTTAATAATTTAATAATTTTTGAGCCAAACATTAATTGCAACAAAAATTTTATTGGGTGTAAAAATACCTAAGTAGTTAGTATAGTGTAGTGACGTTTAATATACAAATAAAATTAAATGTAAAACAAAATATTTACTTAAACAGAAATACCTTACAAAAAAATCGGTAAATTTATAATAAATATTTAAAATAGACTCCGTCGACATCAATACATTATGTAAGCGATCTTCAAAAGAGCGACTTACACTAACTAACACTTGTGTTAAATCCTATACATTTATTTCTATTTTCTCTTTTATATCTTCCCCAGTTGTAGCTTATCTTTATAAACCTTATCTTTCATTCAGCCCCAGAG